TCTGAGAGGAAAGATGCAAACAAACTCTCTGGACTGTTGGATCTGCTGGTTCTGGTTCCAGATGCTCCTTGGACACTTTCACAAGCCATTACTGCAGCTGCTGGATTCAGGATGCTGCTTCTTCTTCTTGGGCTCATTGTAAATGTGTGCAGCGCCACCTGGTGGTGCTGGTTGGTAGAGGAAGCTGAAAGGTTGGAGGTGTTTGTCAGAGGTGTGTGATGATGGAAGCCTCTCCCTGGTTTGTGAGTCTGAGCTCAGAGATCAAATCTTTGATTCTTGTTGAATCTTTGTTGAATGTGATGCAGCTTCTCCTTTTTAATGTTTGTATTTCTGGATATTACAGTGAGGCCACAGCAGGTTTTCAGCAGCAGGGCTGTTTAGTGTTTCATTCCTTCATCTGTGTGTGGGAGTGTGGATGGATCAGGTATCCAGGTGTTGATCAGAGTTTAGATTGATTGTATTTTAATGCTGATTATTAAATCAGGTGGAGCTTCCAGAAATGTTTCCTTAGTTTCCTGATGTCCTTTTAGGCTTCAGTGAGTTTCTTCAGGTTGTTACTGAGGGATTTCCTTTCTCCTCTCTGTTGGAGCTTTTCCTGTGTTTGGAGAAATGAGTTGTGCTGCAGCAGCACCAACTGTCCTTCCTACATCCACTGCAGTTTGCAATCCAGATGTGGACTGTTCCTGTCTCAGTGGAGGACAAAAACTACACTTGGCTGCAGCATGCGGAAAGGAGCAGGGACGGACAATTGTCAGTCTCAGACCTTATATGGAAATGGGACTATTATGTTCCGGAAATGAAGGGGGCGCTAGTGACACCATTTCCTGTATCAGCCGTGTTTCAATATTATAATAATAATAACGCATTTTATTTGACAAGCCCTTTAAAAACACCCAATAACACTTTTAACATTTAAAATTAATTACATTTTAACTACAAATTAAACAGTAAGGAAATGACATACCACGTGTTACGTCACGTTGTATGTCCCTTTTTTATTTTTAAATCTTTATTAAATCTTTGTTTTGGATGTTAAAATTATATTAGTAACAAACAATCTAAAATAAGCAATAATAAGGAATCATTATGGAGATGTATTTATCTATCCTTACACCCTAACTTTCCCAAACAAAAGTCATAAATCATAAATTAACATTTTAGAGACAAATGTACACTATATTAAAAACACATTTATCAATCCATCAATGATTTTACTCTCAGGTTATCCGTGCAGTGGGTGATGAGAGCTGCTGCAGGGACCCTGGACAGATCGCCAGTCCATCACAGAAAACAGATATAAACAAATACCTGCTGGTGTTGAAGTTCAAACAATAGATTTTGATGTTGTGAATGGTACTCTTAAAATAAATAAGTTAAAATCTAAAATAGAATATCTTTTGCCTTATTTAATAAGGACTAGATGGAAAAAAGGCCGATAGTCAAAATCGTTGACTAACAGTAAAACGTTTAGTCAATTTTGGCCAACTTGGTCCATCCATTCACAAAACACTTTTGTTCTGTTTATTTGGCAAATATTTTCCTTATTCACATTGTGAATATAATTTACAAACAAATTAAATTACTTTTGAACTTCTAACAAGCTCGACTGTTATCATTGTTTACCATAATGTCTTAACCAGTAAACTGATTGGTGTCCCACTATTCTGTTTAGAAATTCAAAATCAATTCTACCAATTGCAATTGATTCATAAACTGAGTCCCAAAGACCTTAAATATGCAATTGTTGCAAAACCCAAAGTGATTAATTTAAAACTTTATATTTTGCTTCAACCTGGAAACTCACACAGAAAGTAGGTTTTAGAACATTCATTTGATAAGAAATAATCTTCGGACCCCGGCAGTAGACACTGCGCTGGTAACAGCCAGAGATAATGATTCGCTGTTGTTTCTTTTTCTCTATGAAACCTTTTTGAATAAATTCACTGGATACATAAATTAAATCTGTGTAAATTGTAACCGTCTTCATCTCTGATCACGGCGCCGGTCTCATCTCCTCCATCCTTCACAAACTCCGGCTTGATGTGCAACTGCTCCTCACCTGAGCCTCCATCACCTCCACCTGGTCTCCACCTTCACTCAGCTCACCTTTAGTCTTATGTTTGTATTATGACTTTGTAACTAAACAATGTTTCTGTATGTTCTTGCTTTATTATAAAACAACAGTTGATTCTGACTGTTAAAACAAACAACTTAGCCGTATGTCAGGTTTGTAAAGAACATTTGTAATGATTCCAGTCATTGTTTAAAAAGTATAGGAAACATTGCATTTACACATTTAAAATATTGCAAGTTATTAACTTAGCATGTATTTCAAATTTTTAAAACAAGGTGATCCAATTGCTAAACAACACTGTTACAATATATTTACAACTACTTTATTGGTTCTACTCTCTCCAACAAAATGCAGCCACAATGTAACATCATTTCTGTACAAACTAAATAATGTAAATCAACTGAGCTACAACAAAAGAAACATTCAAAAATGTACATAATATTGAAATAACACATTATGAAAACAAATGACTGAACAAGTCAAAAGGCAAATGTGCTTCAGCATAGATGATTTAAAATGACATTTCACAAAAAAACACAATGTGTGACAACTGAAATGTGTGAAAGACTATAGAAAACAACTAATACTGTCCTAGCATTCAGTACTGGCATTCAGGGCAGTGTCCAGATGTGCCATCAGAGTAGTAACGAGGGAACTCTCCTCATCTTCCATGTCCAGTGAAGCCCACACAGTCTTTATGTTGCCGGTTGCAGGAAGAACATCTTACAACCGCAAAAGGAATCCTGTTTTCTGCCTTGAATGATTCTGAAAATGTCGCCAGCTGATCTCACCTGTTGATGAAAAACTGATTTTATGTAGTTGAAATCTAATTTCACATGTTTTAGGTGAAAAAAGTCAAAGGTCTTTACCATCTAGCCAAGCAAAGTGAGTCTTCTTCCTGAAAACTGGGTCAGACACAATGGCTTCTAAGCACTTGCAGGTCAATGCCAAGGTGAGGGAAGATGTGCCTCCCTGTGCCAGAATCACCTCCTGGAGAACAGCTTCCAGTGCAATCAAAGGCATCTGAAAATAATAATAATAAAAAAAACATGTGCAATGCAAGACTCATACTGGAAGAATGGCTATGACATGATTATGAATGAATCTTAAAAAAGAAATGAATAAAAAATTAAAAAAAAAACATCTATATACATTGCAGATATGTTTAAACAAGATGTGATTCATTCTCACTCAGAACAGAGCGAAGACTCAGCCTAATAGCTACTAAGATAAAAGAAAAAGGTTACACCAGGAAATATACAAATGATTGGAAGAACAAAAGGCATGTTTGAATTAATCACTGTAGATTCTTTAACGTTGTTGCAACTGTTTTGTAGGATTTAACAATTAATGGCTTCCAGATAACACATATATGTTCTGCACAAAATGAACAGCCAAAGATTAACTAATCAGATTTACTCAATTACTCTGTAACTTTGATTAAAAAAAAAATAATAATTAGGACCATTTTTCCAAATGTCATACTCTTGAGTTAATGTTGTTGATATGCAACATAATGCAAGAAACTTAACTGAATGAAGAACACATTTTAATCCATAAAAAAATTTAAACACGATACACTGATAAATGTTGTTTATGTTAGGTTTCCTCTAACCTTAATTTGTTGTCTTGTATTAAAATACCTAACAGTATTTTTATTAATGTCTGCTGAAATAAATGGGTAATATTACATTGCACATTATAATCAGTAAAACAGTACTTAAAAATAGCCATTTCACAAAATACTTTGTTACTTTTAATGTGTAGTTTGCTGCACAGTTACTAAAAATACATTGAAGTAGTGCTGCTCGTCATTACAGTATCATCTCTGGGTTCCACTTATGATGGCAGCTGTTAGCTTATAAAAAAAGCTGTTAGTTTAAAAAATATTAGACTTTCAAGAAATTTAACATTGGTGTACAAAAACATATTTAAAAAAATATTAACCTTTAAAAATGAAATAAAAACACTAGAAAACTGATAAGAATGTAAAAATAAACATTCATAAGTGTTTTTCACATACTGTTATGTTGAACCATAGCAGTTGTTGCTATGTGGTTCTGTACCTTTAAGACTCCTCCGCACTGTATGAGCAAAGGGGACAGCGGTATTTGTCTTCAGACAGTACGGGAAGAATTTTCTGTCCGATCCCAATGTTGCAAATTGATAAGTGCATCTGTATAACAAAAAAAAATTGGGGCATAAAATACATTTCTCAAGTATACATTTTTCTACTTTTCAATTTTTATCTAATGATGCCCTGCACGGAAATAATTAGCTATGCTACATACTAAATTGCCTTCCCCTGTACAAACTATGAATTTCACTCGTTTGCAGCTGTCAATTATATTTTCAACCTAATCTAGAAAAAGCGCTTTGATGTACTATGTGAAAAAAGTTTTAATAAGGTAGAAAATACCTGTTGCTGACTTTGTGCTTGTTCCATTATGAATAGCGTTCCGAACGTCAATGGCGAAACCTCTCAAACTTCTTCCAATCGACCTCTTCACCCCGCTTCTTTAAGGTATTAGTGATTGTGAAAATAGCGCCCCCTTCATTTCCGGAATGCAATAGTCCCAATTCCATATAAGGTCTGAGACTGACAGTGGTCCGTCCCCGCCCCTTTCTGCAGGCTGCAGTCAAGACCCTCTCGAGGACAATGTGTGTCTGAGAGACATGTAATGTCCATGTTTGCTGCTGAAAGAGACTGATGGTCTGACCCCCCCTCCTCCTTTCAGGGTGGAGCCTGCTGGAGGCCGATTCTTGACTCCAGGTCTGAGGAAATGTAAGTGTGTTTTTCATCTGATTCATGACAACAAAGCAGCTCACATTCAACCATCTTCAAACTGTCACATCACTCATTCAGGAGTCAAAGTGTCAATAAATGATCAATAACTGCAGCTGGATTGTGTTTGTTCTCCATCAGATTCCTGTCAACTCACCATCGACACAAACACAGTGGGCAGAAACCTCAAACTGTCTGCAGACAACAGGAAGGTGACATATGAGGAGGAGATTCAGTCATATCCTGATCATCCAGACAGATTTGATAATTATCCTCAGCTGCTGTGTAGAACTGGTCTGACTGGTCGCTGTTACTGGGAGGTTGAGTGGAGAGGAAATGTTTATATATCAGTGAGTTACAGAAGAATCAAGAGGAAAGGAAACAATAGAGACTGTGTTTGGATATAATGATTATTCCTGGAGTCTGAGCTGCTCTGATCGTCATGGTTTCTCTGTCTTGCACAATAACATAGAAACTTGTCTCTCTTCCTCCTCTGTCTCTAACAGAGTAGCAGTGTATGTGGACTGTCCTGCTGGCATTCTGTCCTTCTACAGAGTCTCCTCTGACTCACTGATCCTCCTCCACACCTTCAACACCACATTCACTGAACCTCTGATTCCTGGATTCTGGTTCTGGTCCAGTTCTGGTTCTTCAGTGTTTCTGAGCTGATTTGAGTCTAAAGAGTCTAAAGTTTTTCCTCCTGTCAGAGAAACTCTCTCACTGTTGAACAGATAGTTCAGTCTCTACAATCTATTTCTTGTTGAAACGATTCTGATTGAGTCCTTGGAACTTTTTCTTCTTCCAGTCCTTTGAAGATGGAAGCTGGGATTATTCCAGGATTATTCCAGGATTATTCCAGGATCATTCTAGGATTATTCCAGGATTATTCTGGTCTTATTCCAGGATCCACATGTTTTTCAGTTTGTTTTCTTGTCATAGCTTCACTCTATCAAGAGATGCTGGTATACTGGTGGTGAAGCAGCAGACAGAAAACCCAGGATATAGTTAATGATGGTTTTAATAGTAAAATAGTCCAAGTGGAAACACAAAAACAGGCAGCATGGCTGAGCTGAAGCCAGGGCTCAACGCCTGTAGCAACTGTTCATCCTGGTGGACAGAAGAACAGGCTTGACAAAATGACGTGAAGAACGATGAGGACCCGATGAGGAACAAAGGACAACCGTGGGATTAAATACACAGATGGTAATCACAGAAACGAGAAACACCTGGGAACAATCAAGGGGAAACAGGACAACGCAGAGACTGGAAGCATCACAGAAAAATAAGGACCGCTCATTTTGAAGGCTGCCTACGTTCAATAACATGAAAAAACTGCATGTTTTATATGAATTCGATTAGTATTTAATACTCTTTACACAAAGTGAAAGTACAAATGTAATGTGTTTTTTTCTAAATTCCTTCATTTTATGAAAAGATGGTTAGCTCTCTTTATACAGGAGAAAACTATTTTTAAGAGAGTTGCCACTGATCAATTAATCATTATTGATTCTAAGACCAATCATCTTTAGATTAATTCAATCAATCTGTAAAAATATTAAATAAATTAGTGGTTTTCACTGGCTATACCCATTAATTATTCATTAAATATAACAAATTCTAAAAACACCAGTCTCTTAATGTTATTCCTTTAAAAATAAGTTTTGTTTCTAAAATGATCAAATTAAAATAAGTTACTTGTTTATTTTATAAGGATATTCTGTAAAATTGTAACAGTTTCAAATTTCACAAAAAATAATCTAATTAATCCTACATGATTAATTTTCCATTTTTATTCAACAATTAATCATTTCACCTCCAAAAACCTAATTTTTAGTTTATTCCTTGACAATTTTTTATTATTCCCCAATAATTAAATCAAATTTACTGACAAAGATCCATAAGTTAAAACCTGAATCTCTAACAGGGAACATTTAATATCCATATCTGGTTTAAAAGGCTCAAAATTAGTAGCCATGTTTAAAAATGTTGGTCATCCTGAAACCCAAGTGGCTGATGGGAAACCTGAGGGGTTAGCATGCTAATCTTTATCCCTGTATCTACACTTTAATTATATTTACAGTGAAATGCTGAATTTAAATGAAATGAAATGAAATTTATTCGAACATGATACAAATATAAAAATAAAATAGTGCACAGTAACAAGAAGTGCATAAGAAAGAAGAGAAAATACAGATTTTTTGTTTCAGTTGACATATCATGCTCAAAATGGGGTAGGAAGAAGTGAGAACTTATAAACTCCTACCCCTAAACACTTGAGACTGTAGAATCCTACTGTCATTAAAAAATCAAATCAAAGTGTCAGTCAGAAGTAACAGTTACTAATATTTACCTATTCATTTTCCCATTTTATGCTGGTTTGTCTTTCTTAACCCTTACACCAAGTTATCTGCAATACACACCTTATTGCTTTCTATTACACGTATGTGTATCTATTGAAAATGACCTCTTTGTACTTTCTTTTGAATTGCGTTAAACTGTTGCTTTGTTTTAAATCTTCATGTAACTTATTCCATAACTTTACACCTGTAATTGAAATACAGAAGCTTTTCCTTGTTGTTCTGAATTTGCGGATCTTGAAGTTTGAGTGACCCCTCAAGTTATACCCCCCTTCTCTTTCAGAAAACGTGCTCTGTATGTGCTCAGGTAACAGCTGTTTAGATATTTTGAACATAAATTGAGCCATTTTAAATTCTACAAGCTCGTCGAATTTGAGAATTCTGGATTTTATGAAGAGCGGATTTGTATGGTCATAATAACCGACATGATTCTAATGGCTCTTTTCTGTAGGACGGTTACCGGATGTAAAGAGCTCTAGTAATTAACTCCCCACACTTCACAACAATATGATAGGTATGGTAAAATCAGGGAGTTATATAGAATATGAAGTGATTTAGCATTCAATACATGTCTAGCTCTAGCCAATATGGATATACTTCTACTGAGTTTACTCTGTAAATATTTAATATGAGGTTTCCAACTGATTTTGTCATCTATTATTAAACCGAGGAACTTATTAGCAAAAACCCTTTGTAGAGTTACGTCCTCTATTTGAATTTGGATTTCAGTATTTTTATAACAGTTCCCAAAGACCATGATTTTCGTCTTGTCCAAATTTAGGGATAATTTGTTATGGTCAAACCATATCTTTAACTTACTAATCTCTGAAGTGACTGTTGAGAGAAGATGTTCTAAATTGTCGCCAGAGGCTAGAATATTTGTGTCATCAGCGAATAAGATAAATTTTAATACATTGGACACTTTACTGATATCATTTATATAAAGATTAAATAAAACTGGTCCCAATACTGATCCTTGTGGTACTCCACAGACAGTCTCCTGCCAATCAGATTCCACCTCTCCCAATTTCACAAATTGTTTCCGGCTCTTCAAGTAACTCCTCATCCAGTCAGAAACTACTCCCCTAATTCCATAACGTTTTAATTTTTTAAGTAAGATTTCATGATTTATTGTATCGAAAGCTTTCTTTAGATCTATAAAAATCCCTACTGCCAGTTTTTTACTATCTGTTGCGTTGGTTATTTCTTCTATTAAGTCAGTTACGGCCAGCGATGTTGACCGGTTTGCTCTGAATCCATATTGACTGCTGATAAGTAGTGAATGTTTTTCTATGAATTGTTCCAGTCTTTTCTTAAATAGTTTTTCCAGGATTTTAGAAAATTGTGGGAGAAGAGACACAGGCCTGTAGTTAGTGAAGAGGTGTTTGTCGCCAGTTTTATACAATGGTTTGACCTTAGCTATTTTCATTTTGTTGGGAAATAATCCTGTTTGAAATGATAAATTGCAAATATAAGTTAGTGGTTTAGAGATACCTTTAATTACTATTTTAATAGTTTTCATGTCCAGATCATCACAGTCAGTAGAAGTCTTATTTTTACCGTTATTCACAATGTTTATGATTTCTTCTTCTTGTACAGGGCTGAGATATAAGGAGCTGGGATTATTCTCAATTAGATATTGCTGAGTTGCAGTTTTTGTAGTCGGAATTTTTTCTGCTAATTGAGGTCCTATATTAACAAAAAATGTATTAAATTTATTGACGACACTTTTCAAATCAGTAATATTCTGTTCATTATCTATGAAATAGTCTGGATAGTTGTTATTGTTAGATTTTCTAATAACTCTATTTAAAATATTCCATGTTTCCTTAATGTTGTTTTTATTCCTATCCAGTAATGTATGATGATAGTCCTTTTTACATGTTTTTATAATATTAGTTAACTTATTTTTATATTTCTTGTATTTGTTTTCTGATTCAGACGTTCTATGTTTTAGAAATTCTCTATAAAGTTTGTTTTTCTTTTTACATGCCTTTTGTATTCCTTTTGTGATCCACTGTTCATTTTTTTGATTACTTTTCCTGTTATATTGTTTGATTGGGCAGTGCTTGTTATATAATATTTTAAATATTTTTAAAAATTCTTCATATGCTGAATTCACGTCATTCATTTTATATATTAATCTCCAATCATAAGCTAACAACTCAGCTTCTAGAGCTTTTAGTGTCTCTTCAGACGTAACCCGTCTGTAATGTGTCTCTATTTTTTGATCGTCTGTTTTGCACTTACAGTCGTAGACTATGAACACTGGTAAGTGATCAGTTGTGTCATTCATTAATATTCCACTAGTTAAATTATTTTCCAGCACATTTGTAAAAATATTATCAATTAAGGTAGCGCAGTGCGATGTAATGCGACTGGGCCTGGGTGATTTTAGGATACAGGCTTAAACTGAGCATGGTGTTAATAAATTCTTCAGTCATTCTATGTTTATTTGGATTGAGAAGGTCAATATTGAAATCCCCACAAAAAAAATATTATTTTTTGATTAATTGTTATAAATTTTTCTTCTATCCAGTTGTTGAATACTTCAATGTTTGATCCAGGGGCTCTATAAATGCAACTCACTAAGACATTTTTTCTTTTTTCCACGAGTATTTCTATAGTCACACATTCAAACATGTTGTCCATCACAGTTGACATTGTTTCGATCAACTTATAATTAATCTTCTTGTCAACATACAAAGCTACTCCCCCTCCATTTGTTTTCTCTGTTCTTACAAACCATTTCATAACCATTGATTTCAAAGTCTATGCCCTTATCACTATTAAGCCAAGTTTCTGATAAGGCAATAACATTGAAAGTCTGTGA